AATTTAATATTGCTTGCATATAATAATATTTATCCTTACTAATTTATTATTATTTTTAAATATACAAGAATAATAACTGATAACACCATAAATGACAACACGAATATACTAAAATGAGTTCGAAAATCATAACTAAAATTCCGCTTTACACCGCACGCCTATGACCTCCGCCAGAAATAAACAAATAAATTAAAATGTCGGCGTCCCTGCCGTTTAATGACAGGATGGTATCCCCTAATGGCGGCGTGCGCAGGAAAGATGCGCGTGAGAGTTAGCCTGCTGATTGTTTTTGTATATGCTGTGGTAATATTATTAGAATGGAAATTATAAGTCCATATTTGAACAGGCTAAACATGTAAACATAATTTGAATTTACTGCAGAATAATTGAAACAAATGGAAAGATATTTTTGATTTGTATAAGTACCTAATCAATGTCAGTTAGTCAATAGTAGGTATGTACATAGCCTTGTAGAACATTCAACTCCATCACGAACTATTGAAAAAATTTCAATTGCAATAATCCTGGTATTCTTTCGATCTGAGCCGCATTCTTTCGCAATATATTTGAATCATGATTCGGAGATCCTGATCCGTTTGTTCAATTGGAACATGTTTTAATTTTAAGGTCCGAAAGAACGCTATCCGATTTTCGTGATCGGAACAAACTAATCAAAAAAAAAAAAAAAAAGTTCAATTTGTTCAGAATTTTTCGGATCATGATTCGCTAACTGTCAAATATCAAAATGCGAAAGAACGTGATTACTGGAACATAACGCGTTTTGATCAACTGATTCGGTCCGAAAGAATGCGGCTCTGATCAAACTGATTGTGATGACATGAGGTTTGTTCATGAGGCGTCAAAAAACAGCTGTGGCCAATGAAATCGTTTTAAAACCGGATGGAAATCGTTTGAAACAAACCTCAAGTGACTTCGATCAGTTTGTTCAGATAGAAAGAATACACCTAATATCTGACTTACCACGTTAAATTTAAAGTTCACACACATAAATAGAAAAACCACGCAACTCGGAAGATTATTATAAACGCGCACCTAATGAAACCTATTCAATTACTGACGAAGCATGCGCCGCACGTAAAATTTCAAGTGGTGGGAGTGTGAACAGTTATGGTGATAAGACATTAACATGGATGGCATTGGTTGATTGTCATTTTTTTAATTTTTGGCCGGACTATAATACATTTACCTCACTTCACCTTACCTAGAAATACCACAAAGTACATCGAAATACCAGTTATTCCTGTCGAAAGACGCGAAATCTCATGGAAATACCTTCGAATTTCCAGGCGAAGTCCTGGAATACTAAAAGAATTTCGTTGATAACGAGTTTTCTGAATCGCGGTAAAGAATTTGTGCTCGGATTTTTGTGTCTTTTGATAAATATTATGATGGATATTATTTGGATGACACACAGGATTCAGACAATTAAATCAATAGTTCGTGATGGAGTTGTTTTACAAGGCTGTTATGTAGGTACCTACTATTAACTAACTGACATGACATTGATTTTAGGTACTTATACATATACAAATCAGAAATATCTTTCCATTTGGGGTCAAAGATTTTGGTTTCAAATCCTCATCTACTTTACGGAGTTAAAACAAATTAAATTTACGATTCCTAAGTTCAATTTCTCTTCTCGATCTTTTCTGAATAAGAAGTTCCTATTCTGAAATACATGTTTTCTTTCCAATAATTGAAAAAGAAGTAGGTAGTTGAAATTTAAAAATAATTGTCTTACATTATTTTGTATATACCTGCATAAAAAGTCCAATATAGCCTTATACTCTAACTCCAGTTCTAGAGTGATTTGGCATAATAACCTCCGCAATGCAATCGTACCTATTCTGGTGCATTGGAGTCAAAACGAGGCCCCCGACTGCAATAAAGACTGCAAATGAGTGACATTGGGGCACGCAAAGCGAGGACGGACGCCTTGGCACGGCGCCGCGGTGGCTGGCGTCGATTATTCAGGACGTACATTATTTGGAAGTTTCCAGGCCGCCTGGATACAGTTATCCTATGGTCGGAGGGGGTTAAAGGGCCCTGAACTAGGAGACGTATATAAAAGTTGCTCCGCGTGACTCACTCATGCTAACACAGAAAAAGTTGGGTAAATATAATTTTGTCGTAAAGTTTTACGGCCTTTGGAATAAAAATGTCGTAAACCTAGATAGATATTATTGAGAGTCAAGTTTGGGGTACAAAAACTAATAGCAACCGATGTCGGCAGTCGTAATCACTCTAATAAATTACCTACTTTAGTTGGTAATTGATTGAAATAAAGAATTATGAACACAAGCATGAGTTTTTATTATTCGGCATGTACCTATATGTAATGAATATACTTATATTTTTGCAATAATTATAGAAAATTATAGGGCGTTGTTGCATGAGGCGATACAGATTTCGATCTAACATGCACTTTTCGGCCCCTAATGCAAATTTTGATAATATGTAATTTACCAGTAAACGTCTTGTTTTCCATAATATACGTTGTGGTTTATATTTATACTAAATCAATAAAACAAATTATAACTTTCAAATAAATCTTATTAGTATTAAGTATTTATAACTGTATTAGCATTGACAATTAGGACATCCATAATCAGATTGGAATGGTTGTGGACAAGCAACAGGTGCTTGAAACGATGTACATACTGGCACAGATGCTTGACACGATGTATGTACTGGCACATGTGCTGTATATACTGGCACAGATTCTGAACAAGGTGAGGGTGGTGCAACATATACAGTAGCTGATACATGATGTTGGTAAGGTTCTGGAGCACACAAATACTTCTTACTTAAATCTTTACGATTGCATTGCCTGTATCGCAATTGGTATTTTTCGTCTGAATCACAGTGCGAGCGTGCATAATATTTCGAGTGTGATCCTAGGCAACTTCCATGATAGCGTTCTGGTTCTAGACAGCAAATTTTTCTACTTCTGCACGGAGTTGCGGCCTGAAAAAAATTATTGTTATAAGATTTGTTTTTGATAGAATTTTCAAAAAATACGTACCACATTATAAAATACTGCAACAACAACCAAAGCACCGAAAACAAAACCGTTTATTGAAATCATTGTCAATCAAAGAAAAAATTGATCTTAACATTTTATTCCTCTTGACTACTATTTATATTGAAATATTTAAGTCAATGAACGTGCCAATAAATTACTTCCGCCAACAACAATTAAACGTGCTCAAATTCAAACTTGAACTTGATATTTTTGCTTCGATTGACAAATACAAAATAGGAAATGTTTTCGATAATGTAATACCTACATAAAATTCCCCATTAATCTTGTTGGTGATTTATGGCGCTTCATCTATAGTTATTAGGTTAGATATTCGAAACAGCATCCTACGATATTCCAGAATCCTGGAATTAAATTCCCCATAGATTTCATGGTATTGGATTAGTTCGACGGTCGCACACACACGGCTTTACACACGGCCTTACGGGAATTGTCTGGATAATTGATGCGTGCTAACGGGATTTTCCAATAACTTCAAGTCAGCAACAATGGCGAATGCATTTGCAATATCCCAAATAAATAAAACATTCATATAAATATAGAATATTTTTTTAAAGTTTTATCCAACAATAACTGAACGAAATTGGATTTTGCGATATTAAAATTGCAATTCCTTGTTAAACTTGGGCATTTATGTCTGTATCGAAGGAATCAAAAATATAAAGATTTCTTCGAAATTCGACTCCTTGATGCCTTATTCCCAACTTAAATTTGCAACTCACCCCTTTGGAATTCTATTTCAAGATCTTCTAATTTCAATATCTGGTTACAAATAAATAGGAGAACTGAGGTTGTAGTTTTAGAAAAAAAATTCCACTGAAATTGAACTCAATATCTTGAAACAGCTTAAACTACTTGTTCATAAAGGAGTTACTCCTCCAAACGATTATTGATTTTGATGAATTGACTCATCATCGGAGGTATAATATGTGAATTCATGAACACCAAAAATTGAATTTTCTTTCGAATATTTTCTTCTCATTGCTGTGAGATAATCATCCAAAACTTGTCTCGATTTGAACAACCCACTCGCAATTCAAATTATAAATGTAATTTATTAATAGAAAAAAAGTTATGACCTATCAAAGTTTTCCAAAATCTAAATCATAAGGTTCCTTCTTACTTGGGATTGTAGTCCCTTGATTGGGATAAAATTCAGTGAAAGTTTCAGCTTTCTATCTATAATAGAAAAAAATTATGACCTTTCAAAGTTTTCCAAAATCTAAATCATAAGGTAGGTAACCTTCTTACTGAAACAATGAAATTTCAATTTTTTTTTTGTCGAGATTTTGTATCCTAATGGTCAATCAACATCCCCCAAACTCCATACACTAAATTATTCCCAGATTTGAAGCCGAAATCTATGAAAAAAGGCACTCAGAAAAACTGAAAAATTGATAAATCACCTCAAATTGCTTAACACGATTTTATCTCAGGAACTATAAGTGCAAATGAGCTGAAATTTTCAGGGATTGTAGTCTCTTGATTGGGATAACATTCAGTGAAAGTTACAGCTTTCTATCTATAATAGAAAAAAAGTTATGACCTTTCAAAGTTTTCCAAAATCTAAATCATAAGGTAGATATCTTCTTACTAAAACAATGAAATTTCAATTTTTTTTTTGTCGAGATTTTGTATCCTAATGGTCCATCAACATCCCCCAAACTCCGTACACTAAATTATTCCCAGATTTGAAGCCGAAATCTATGAAAAAAGGCACTCAGAAAAATTGAAAAATTGATAAATCACCCCAAATTGCTCAACACGATTTTATCTCAGGAACTATAAGTGCAAATGAGCTGAAATTTTCAAGGATTGTAGTCCTCTACTGGGATGAGAATCGCTGAAAATTTCAGCTTTCTATCTTTAAAAAAATGATAAAATTTACCTGGTTACCATAAACCATTACCACCTGTCCAAATTAAAATTACACAGCTGCCAACCTATCCTTCATTTGTCACATTTCAAGAAAAACTAAAAATGGAAATAACCAAATCATTATCAACAATCACTACAAAAGAAAAGGATCCGACGGCGGTCCACGTATTTTTCGTATGGTACAACGAGCTGTGTCGTCGTTTGACCATAAGACCAACAATCAAACCAGTCAAATCCAAGTGCCAAACAGTATTGGATTTCGTAGCTGAAAAGCTGAAATTGGAAGAATGGAATTTGGTCATCAACGCTTTGCGTCTCGATACTAGTTTACATGTGATTGCTATACGAAGCCGAATGGGCAATTTTCAGTTTTTATATGAAGTTGACACAGAAGAAAAAGTCAAAAAGATGGAGAAAAAATATGGACTTATATGGACTGCGTACGTGCTCAACCAAACCGTAAAATCACTTTCAAATTGCTTGAGAAACACACAGGTGCTTAGTTATCTAGAGCTTGATGGTTTACCTTTATTTACTCAATATTTAGAGGCACTTTTGCAAGCCCTTAAAAGAAATAAAACACTAAAAACCCTTTCGTTTGTAAACTCCTGTGACATCGAAGACGTGGGTTGTCAACTAATTTGTGACTATCTCCGCAACATTCCTAACGTAGAAGTACTTAACCTTTCTGGCTGCAACTTAACTTCAATCAGCGGCGAATATCTGGCCAAATTAATCAAATTTCAGCAAATTAATAGATCTTGCGAAAGTTGGCACCATTCCTTACGCTACACAGAACCAGTCATCGAAAAAATGTGCGGCATCAAGCGCATAACCATAAATTCGAATCCAAATTTCGGAGATGCCGGCTTAAATTTGATTTTAGACGAGCTCGATGACGATTTATGGGTAAAAGCTTTGGACGTTCAAAAATGTGGAATCACTGATAGTGTTGCTGAAAGAATTTTGGACGTTGTCGAGTACAATAAGGTTTTGGAAATTGTCGATCTGAGACAGAATCAGCTTTTGGACGTGGCTGTTGTAGAGAAAGTGATAGAGGTTTTTTTTAAACGACAACCTTTTGGTTGTAAATCGGAATTTCAATGGGGTCAAACGGCAAGGACTTTGTTAAAACATTCAGCTAGCTGGTTTACAACGAAAACTAATTCACTGGAAAAACTTCATAAGGCAAAGTCGGCACCGATAAAGCAGGCTTATAAAAACTGTGACTTATCTATTCGGAAAATAAAAACTTTATCCACAATTCAAAAAAACGATGATGGAATGGAACAGCAAAAAGGAGTGGAAAGTGGTGGTCAGTTGAGGTTACTTGGTCAAATGAAGAAACTTGAAATTATATTACCGGCTATTGCCGAACGAAAAGATATGGAACAAAGCAGTAGGGTCAGTGAGAGCTTATTTCTTTTATAATGTAATAAGAGATATGTGTCAGGCAGAATGTTACTTTTATAAAAACCGTTTTTGTTAAGTAAAATTTTATGAAAAGTAATTAGCTTTTTAAATCAGGTAGATTGTAGATTGGTATTGTATTTTACTGGGCAGTGTCCTGTGAGCAGTCCCACCACCAATCTGATGTCTGGTCTGCTCATGCTTAGGAGCTGTTCAGCTCTTTTTGCTGAAAGGGTAATAAACCTTTTTGACTGTCTGAGTCCCGGTGTGTGCCTCCAATATGATGACAGTTGGTCTTTCTCCCATTTGTTGAGTTCTTCCATGATGTGGCTTTTCATTAAGCCACAGTAGGGCTCTGGTCCATGGTATGGTGTTGAGGCCCCTTCCTTTGCGAGGCCATCTGCCTCTTCGTTTCCTTCTATGCCTCGATGACCAGGCAGCCACATCAGCGTTACCTGGTTATGTGTCGCTAGTGTTTTTAGGGTCTGTTTACACTCCCAGACTAGTTTTGACGTGCATTTGAAAGCGCTCAAGGCTTTTAAGGCAGCTTGGCTGTCCGATAGTATGAAGATGTGTTTTCTTTTGAGGCTTTGGTTAAGACACTCTTGTGCACATATATCTATGGCAAGCAGTTCGGCTTGAAATATTATAAGATGATTACCCAATGCCTTGGAGAGCTTGAAGTTAGGGCCGGAAATGCCCAGTCCAGCTCCTACCATTAGCTTGGATCCATCTGCGTACCACAGAGATGCATTGTCTGCTTGTGGTAGTTCTTTATTCTCCCATGATTGGCGGTCGTTTATTACAATGACATCAAAACACAGATAGACCGAACAATAAACAAAATTTTCGTATGACAACATCTCTCTGTCTCTTTTGGGTCTTTGTGCTATCCCCACCACTGAGAATGCCAAATTTTGTCTTGAAACCCTAAATAATATATTTTTATCCTTTTCTAATTAACGTTTTCAATTTTACTTCTGAACTCAATTTGGCAACAGCAGATTGTAGCAAAACACCGCCCAGAAGCGGCTTGTTGAATGGCAGGCAGGTGTTTGTTGGAGTAGCTAGCTATCTTTATCGCAAACAGGGATTATTTATTAGCGTTAAATAAGAAACGACCGATACGATATTGGTACTCCCAGAATAAAGGGCTCGTATCGAATATTTTCAGTTTATTTGTCAATTTGTTATTTTATTTATTCATCCAATTAAATTTCGAGATATATTCACGTGTGGGCGGAGTTTTTTACACCATTTTGAGCAATGATGTCTCCCTACCCCGACCCCGCGAGCAACTCACCTCCCCTGGCCCATGGGTGGTCTTGTCAACACAACAAATAACAGTTTATGAATGGGATGATCCGTCTATCTGTGTTTTGATGTCATTGGTTTATTACCACTGCGAAGGGGATCTCTAAGTCCAATCTGACCATCATGTGGTCACTTGGTTTGCTGGCATTCTCCAGTGTTATCAGGTCAAGGATTTTCAGATGTCCCCTCAGATCGCCAGGCTTGAACTTGTCTATTTGGAATAGCCTGTGAGCGCTGGTTATTGCCTCCTTTTTCACACATAGGTGAAGTGGGGGCATGTTGAGTAGCGTCTCTAGGGCTGCGGTGGGGCAAGTTGACATTGCTCCCGTTATTCCTAGACATATCAGCCTTTGCACCTTTCTTAGCTTAATCTGAGCGGTGACTTGTTGGGTTTTGGGCCACCACACCAATGAGGCGTATGTGACCATGGGCCTTATTATAGTTTGATCCAGAATACCATGTTTGGCTTTAGCCCCCATGTTTTGCCAACAAGTCTTCGGCATGACCAAATGGCTGATGTAGCTCGAGAGCATGTTTTCTCTAACTGTTTGTTCCAAGTAAGGGTTTGGTCCAGGGTGACCCCTAAGTACTTCACTTCGTTGAAAAATGTTAGTTGTGTACCGTTAAGGGTCGGGGCTTTCAAATTTAGCTTCCTTCTTCTTGTGAACGGGACAAGGATTGTTTTGTTTGCGTTTAGGGATAGTCCTTCGCCTTCGCTCCAATTTTTAACGATGTTTAGGGCACTTTGCATTCGGCTTGTCACTATACCTTCATGCTTGCCCTTGATTACAATGGCTAGGTCATCTGCGTAACCTATGACCTGGTATCCAGCACTACTCAGTCTGGTGAGAATTTTGTCTACCACCAGTGTCCATAGTAGCGGAGAAAGAACACCCCCTTGAGGACACCCTCTGACCGTGGTAGCGGTAGCTGATGCTCCGTTTATTTCAGCCGTAACGTGACGGTGCTTCAGCATCGACTCTATCCATTTTACAATTGGAACTTCAACATCCCATTCTTGTAATGCTCTGGCGATTGATTGATGTGAGGTGTTGTCAAAGGCACCCTCTATGTCGATGAAAGCTGTGAGAGCGATCTCTTTGCACTCGATTGTCTTTTCAATGTCTTTAACCAGGCAGTGTAAAGCACTTATTGTGGATTTGCCTGGCTGATAGGCAAATTGCTTCGAGTAGAGCGGTCTTCTCAATAGAGTTTCGCTTCTGATGTACTGGTCGATTGCTTTCTCCATTGTCTTAAGGAGAAAGGAGGTTAGACTAATGGGACGATATGATTTTGGTTCGTCCTCGGGTCGGCGACCCGTTTTTGGTATGAATATCACATTAGCTTCCCTCCAAGATAGCGGTATGTGCCCTTGGAGCAGGCTTGCCTTAAAGAGCTTTTGTAGGTGTACCTTTAAGTACTCGTAGCTTTTTGTAGTTGTGCGGGAAAAATCCTGTCTTTGCCTGGAGATTTGTAGGGTCTGAAGCTATCGATCGCCCATTTTATTCTGTTCATTGTGAAGATTTTCCCAGCCAGCCTTTTGCTCCTGCCGTTAGGGCTTTGTGGCCCTTCGATAGGCGGAGTGACCTGTTTCAGGGCTTCAACGATTACCGAACCTGGAAAGTGAGTTTGTAGTAGTACCTCTAGACTTTCTATATGGTCGGTACAGTGTTCTCCGTTTGGCTTTTTAAGCAGACCAATTCCGTTTGAGTGGTTTTTTGAAAGAACTTTTTGGAGACGTTGAGCTGGGGCTAATTCATCAATCCCCTCGCAGAATTGTCTCCACGATTTCCTTTTTGATTTTCTTAATTCACGGTTGTACTTGTCTAGGGCTGTTCTATAGTCTGCCCAGTTGCCGTTGTTTTTTGCCTTGTTGAACAGTTTTCTGGCATCTTGTTTCAGACGTCTCAGCTGCCCGTTCCACCAAGGCACATCCCTGTGGACTGCCTTCTGTTTTACGGGACAACTGTTCTCATAGGAATTTTTTATCGCATTTGTTAGATTGTCAGATGATGCCTCTAGCTCTTCTATTGTATTTATGTCAGAAGGGAGTTCATCTAGACTCAGGCACAGACCCTCCACAAAGGTTACCCAGTTGGTGAGTTTTGGGATTCTTGTCTGTACTGAGTGATTTATAACTGCCTCTAGGTCGAACCTTATTGCTTGATGGTCCGACAGGGAGGGTTCATTTGACACAAGCCAGTTGGTTATTGTGTTAGATGTAAATGTGTCAGAGAGAGTCACGTCTAAGACCTCTTGTCTGACGGCGTTAATAAAAGTGGGTTTGTTACCTTTGTTGATAATGTCTACGTTGTTAGAGTTCAAATATTCAAAAAGGTACTCACCCCTTGCGTTTGTATCGGTGCTTGGGCGTTGGCGTCCGCCCCGATAATGTAGTGTCTGTTTCTCGCTCTGCACCACGTGATGAGTCGTTGGACGATCTCTGGCGGTGCTGAGTTGTCATCACCTGGAAAGTAGGCTGAGGCTATGAGAATATGCCTTGAGCCCCCCTCCGTTGGCACTTCTACTAAATCAGCTGCCAAGTCTTGTGTGATGAACTCTGAAACAGGTAAAAATTTTAAACTTTTGTCAAGCAGCAATGCTGCTCTTGGTCTTTCATGGTTAATGTTGTAGATTAACTTACATGATTTGATATTTAGGCCTTTTATAGAGCCTCCATTGACCCAGGGCTCTTGAAGTAGCCCTACGTTGTAAATCAGGTAAGTATGGGCTTACTGATCATCCTGCTGCTATGATGAAGAACATTCAACAACAAAAACCTGATTTCAAAATTAGAATTTTTTTAAACCAAACTTATTCTATCTTGATTATGTTGGTCACGGGAATAAAAAGGCAGAATTTAACCACTCCCATGCAATACTTTTAGGGGCGCCGCGATAAAGTCGTATAATATACGGCCCTGTTACAAGAAATACAACTTTTCCGGAACTGTCAGTGGCTGAAATACACACACACACCGTATAGGAAGGTGAATAAGCTTAATAGTCTCCGGGCAATATTTCCGAATTTATGTCACTTTTACTTCCTGTGGCGTACGCGAAGGAAGCCTTAAAATTTGGCCATATAGGAGAACTTACATAAAACATTGGCAAATAAGTAATTAGGTTGTCTATAAGGGAAAGAAAAAATTGAATTTCCTATAAGTTCCCCTTTTAGTTTATCCACCCACTGACTATTAAAACCGCTTTTTATGACGGACCATGTTTGCATAATATGTCTGGGGTCTTTAAAGGGTAAAATTTCTAGGAAATAATTCCGGCTCTCCCCCATATTTAGTTGAGTTCGACATCGTTTCGAAATCCATAACTTTTCCTATTTTACGAGGCCTTCGCCATAACACTGTATATATGGTGTCTGCGATCATTAAATTACAATTTATAAACCATTTGAAAATGAAAATGCACATTTCGAGAGAGGGAAAATGGACGACCCCGACGTTTTATTTAATTAAAAAAAAAAAGTGTTTTCAGCTTCCCCGTCACTTGTTTTGCTTAAGTGGACGCTGGTTAAAATACATTTTTCATAATGCAGATTTATGACAGAGAAATTGAATTCAGAAAAGTGGAATTTCGCTTTTTTCAGCGGATCTCTTATCCTCGTGGAGAATTATAATCCGATTTTTCTTTTTCCTGAAAGCTGAAATTTTCAGCGATTCTCATCCCAGTAGAAGACTTACAATCCCTAAAAGTTTCAGTTCATTTGGACTTATATAGTTCCAAAAATAAAATTATGTTAAGCAATTTTGGGTGATTTATCAATTTTTCAATTTTTCTGAGAGCCTTTTTTCATAGAACCCGGTTCCAAATCTCAGAATAATTTAGTACATGGAGTTTGGGGGATTCCGAAAGACTATTAGGACACAAAATCTCAACAACAAAAAAATTTGAAATTTCATCGTTTTAGTTATTTTAGTAAGAAGATGATGATTTAGATTTTGGAAAACTTTGAAAGGTCATAACTTTTTTTCTATTATACACTCATCAGAAAAGTCTAGGGAACAAGAAATATTCGTCTTTTAATTTTTAGACAGAATAACTTTTTTTAAAAAGATACCATACGGGTATTTGTTGAACAAATCTTGTAAAATTTATCATATCGGCTTTTTCAGCAGGCTTTAACAAAATTTAAAAATCTTTTAAAAGTATATTTTGTTCAATTTATAAACGTATTCAGTTGCATCTTGTTCCCTAGACTATTTTGATGTGTGTAGGATAGAAAGCTGATATTTTCAGCGATTCTTATCCCAGCAGAGGACTAGAATCCCTGAAAATTTCAGCTCATTTGGACTCGTATTTCGTGA